TTCTGGGGCTCATGGCAGAGCCCCCCTGTGCAGCGCGGGGCAGTGGGGGGCAGCAGGACTCGCCCCTCTGCTTGGCAACAACCAGTGAGTGTGGGGCTTTTTTTTTTAAGTGCCGGGATGCTGGGGCCAGGTGTGGCAGCCATTGACAGGGCTAGGAGAGTGGGCAGGGGATGGGGCCTGTTTGATTCAGGGATTTGGCCAATTCAGCAGCAGTCAAATCTCCGAATCAGATTTGGCTGAATCAATTCAGGACAGTGATTCGAATCACAGAATCAAATCACTGTCCCCCAAACCAGCCAAATTCGAAGCAAATACTAGCCGCTTTGCACAGGCCTAGTATCTATAGCCCTTCCCATAAAAACTAAGATAACTTATACAGCATGTCTGTTACACATGTGTTTTTTTTCTGAAATGTTTAGAGCTACACTATTTACAGCTTTACTCATGGTTATTTGCTAGATCAAAGACTCTCATCAAAAGGGCAATCCTTTCATTTTTCTTTAAAAAAATCCCCTTTTTCTCATAGTGGCCCAACAAAGCATTTAAGCACGTTCTGTCTTAAACATCTAAGTACATTCCTCTTGAACATTCAACCCATCCCTGTAGACCTAAGTCTTTGCTAAGGCATTTTGCTGAATTGAGACTGGATACTGCTTACCAGTCACTTGAAATTCAGGCTTTGCAAAGACCATTTTTCAAGGAGAAAAAGGTTTATTATCTATGACAACTCTTCTGAGGACATTTCCTCTGTAAAGACACATTTTCCCATTCTGTTTTCTTGACACCTTGGTATCATCTTAGAGATTTCAAGTAGTGTAAAAGAACCAAAAGGTTTTGGCTCATCCTTTATAATTTTATTGAATATGTTCAGTTTTATAGATTGGTTGTCTTTGTGACCTTGGGAATTAGCACAGAAAAAAAATTCCAACATTTACAAGAGCCTAAATTCAAGTTTTCATGACAATATATTAAGAGAACTTCAGGTAAAGGTAAATAACTTCCTTTTATAATGCATGAGTACAGGTACACTGGGTGAGTTAGCCTGAATTTGTTGGTCTGCAGGTCATGGTGCAAAGTTCATTTTCCAGGCAGTTTATATATGAATGATGAGTTTTTGGATGGTAATACAGATTTTTATATTTTGGTAGAGTTGAGGTGATATTGTTGCCATAATGGTCCAGGAAATATGTGAATGGCAAGAATTCTTGTGAGTGAAATATTTTATTGGACCATCTCATGGTTGGGAGAGAGGCATAAGGAAGGGTACTATAATACCTGAAAGATTTATGTCTATGCCAAGTATGCAGTTGGCCCAATAAAAGATATCAGCCATATGAATTTTTGCTTCTTCCTTTTATATTTTGGATTTTTTTCCAATCTGCTTGCTTCACCAATTAATACTTGTATATATTACCCCAAACTCTGGGATGAATTTTGAAAGACTGATGTGTAAAATGAGTTTGATCAATTTTATTACTAAATGCAGGGATCCCGTTTTCTTTTGGTAGGTCAGTGCCAAGAGGCCAGGAAGCAGCCAGCATTTGCCTGCAGAGTTCAAGGAAGTATATCCAGAGTACTCTGCTCTTCAGTTGTTCTCTGTTACTATGGAATTTCCAGGGCTCCTTTCCAACAAATTGTGTTATGGCAGTTTTAAGCAGCTCTTGCACATATCAGAGTATGGATCAAACATGAGATTCAGGAATTTTAACTGATACCTTGATAGGTTGTTCATTTTGTCCCATCAAATTTATACTTGGTGCAATAGAAAATGTGAGCCAAAATATTTGACATGTATTATTTAGTTGCATATATAGTTATATATAACATACATAATGATTATATATGTAGCTAAATAACTGAGATAATGTATTGCATTTAAATGTAAGGTGTTTATTGACTTTCTTTGGAAGATTACAGCAGTACTATTGAACAATTCATGATGGAGAATTTTACAACATGGTAAACTCTTTGCTTTGTCTCATGAAGACATTTGTACTACTTGCATTTGTTATTTTCCTTAATTAAATATAAATGAGCTGTAGATTTAAAGTAACTCTTAGCTCTGTTCATGGAAAACACCAGCATGTTTGGAAATAAATAAATAACAAAATATAAAGAAAAACTTCATATGTTATTAAGAAAACCCATGGGCATTATTTTCAAGAGCTGTCAGCAATAATGTCATTTGTTTAGACTATGACTGTGTTTGTAACCTAAGTTCTATTCTTTAGGTGGTGATAAGAAGATGGAAGGAGAAGCTGCCTATTGCTTAGGTTTAGCATATCATTCTGCCGGAGAGGAACAGACAGCAATATTAGTAAGTTTATTAAAAATTCTTCAGTTATTCCCATTGTCTTTTTTTGCCTCCTTGACATTTTCTTAGAGGCTATGTAAAAATATGCATTTCTAGAAGTGGGAAATTTCTACCTGCTCCTTGTGCTTTCCCGAGACCAGCGTCTTCTCAGTCTAGAGAAAGTGTGAGGCTTCTCCAAGCTTCTCCAATCTTCCCATTCCTGGGGGGACTGGAGCAGTGGGGCAGAGCCCCTGCACACTCCTCACACTGGAGTCTCTAGTATGAGGAGCAAGCATGGACTTTGTCACTTGGCTTCTGGACACAAGGAGCCAAGCAGAAAGAGCATGTGGCAAACCCCTTGCCCACTTCTCACAGCAGAGTTCAGTGTGTGAGAAATGGGCATGGGCTTTGCCACACTGCTCTGTCCACTCCACTCCCAGGCACCAGGAGATGAGCAGAGGGAGCAGCATGGAAGACACCCTGCCTACTTCTCATACTGGTGACCTTGGTATTTGGAAATCACAGGAGCCTTTACCAGTGGCTCAACTCCTCCTGGTCCCTGGGAGGAGTTAAGCTGCAGAAAATGTACAAGCATTCATTCTCCTGGCAGAACCTTCCATCAGGTTCTTTTTGGGTTATTTTTCTTCCCAGACTGCCATTTTTGGTCTGGGAGTCATAGTGTGAACATTTGTACACTTGTGGCTTCTACTACGAGAATAATGATTCTTGCAGTAGAAACGTAACACTTGTACATGGCCACTGGTTTCAAAAAGTGGAATTTGCAAACAGTTTCAGGGCTCACAGAGCCTAGGTGCAACCTTCCATGGGTGTGGATTTATAGGGACAAGCCATTAGAAGAACTTCATTTACAGGAAATTAACCCTTCTTTTTCCTGAATGTATATTTGTACAAGAGCAAACATTTTGGCTTAATGTGATATCTTTTATTAGACCAACTAAATAGTTGGAAAAATTGTTCAAATTTTCTAATTATTTAGTTGGTCTAATAAAAGATATCACATTTACCCAAAGAACCTTGTCTGCCTATGTCCTTAGACCAGAACGGCTGCAACCAATACCCCCAAATCATTTTGGCTTTACATTTAAAGAAGTTGGACCCTGATCTTCCATTTTTGGGTCAAAGGTTTCATAACTATTAAGATGCTACTGTAATAACCCCTATGAAATATTTTGGGGGGAATATGTTATAAATGTTTCCTTCTTCCATTAACACTTCCATCCTGCCAAGTTTTACTTCATCCAGATGCTGAACATCTGAAGTGTGGGAGAAGGGTTTTCCCGTGATGAAGAGTTGTAGGATGGTGTTGTCTTAGCAGTGCTGCCAATTAACTTCATATTCTTCACCTTATTCTTTCCCCTAGAATCTTCCTATACATGATTAAAAGGATGGGGGGAAGTTCTACTTATAATAACTCCAGAAAAGAGTACTAGTTATCCCTCTGTACTTTCTTGGATCAATTTGAGAGGAAAGATCAGTGCCAGCTCAGTGTGCTTCTGCCAAACACTACTGAAGTATGGTAGCATTCCATGATCAACTCAAAAATTGTCAAGAGGAAATCCAGTAGTATGAGCATAAATGCATTTCATCTTTGTCTACAGATACAGACAAATGCGTTCACCAGCTTGACCAATGTTGTCTCTGTTCATGCCTAGCCTTAAATCAGCTGAGAGTGATCCAGTGTTCTAGCAAGGAACAAACTACATGGCGAGTGTGGCTCTTCACTATGTGGTTTTGTTGCTGTTTTTTTAACTTGTTCAGAAACTGGACAATAGCTGCTCTTTGAATCAAGCAAGGATCTCTTCAGGATTGGCTGGCTTATTGTGTGGTTTAGGGTAGATGGTGGATTTCTGTGTTCAAAGGTGGTGATAATTTGTCATGTGAGTTCAAGAAGCCTTTGGCAATCTTATACAATAATTCCAATGATCTAGGGCTTCCTGCTACATAAATAAACTGAATTCTAGAAAGGCGAGTGTTATGATATTGGTTCTGTAATGAGCATGTCATTTCTGGTGGTCAGAGAAACCATCTGGTGCTGTAATGGAATAGACTGGTAAATCCTCTCAGTCAGATGAGCTGAGGTCAGAAGTTGAATAGAAGTGTTTCACACGAAGTAAACAATGTGTGGTTTGGAATAATTTTACAAAGTGAAACTTAGCGTTTGCTTTGGCAGAGAAGGATCTCTTGACCATTTCCAATGCTAGAGTACAATAGAGTAGGTTAGAATTTCTTGTGCTAATACTGGTTACCATCTCTGCAGGTTTCTGACCATCAACTCTGAAGGGTTTTGTTTTTTCCTTCCTGCAACTTCTCTAGCAGGTTGACAAACAAAGAAATGTGTGAATGATAAGCAGGCAGCATCAAAAGTAGATAACCTAGGTAAAGGCTTCTTCTTGGACATGTGATTTTTTTCCATTACTGGGAGATGTTAACTGACCAAGAGTAGAGAAATATCCATACCATTTAAATACCAAAACCAGACTTGATAATGTTAAGAATATTTGAGGACTGATATCATCAGGCAGTTTCCTCTATGATGTTTTCTATTTTTTTAGGCTAAAAAGACAGGTTAAAGAGAAGTTGATAGTTTATGACATTGTCTTCTTGGTCCTCAGTGAAAAATTATTTTTTTGGGAGGGTGCTAGAACCTTGGCTTTTGAAAGTGGAATAACATTTTTTTTCCTTTGGTATGCTTTATATAATATTTTGTGCTTTACCGTTTTTTGTTTTTTTTTTTAAATCATACAAAAGCCCTTAAACAAGTGGGAAACAAATTGTATTTTCTGTGAAATATGGAATGCTGTCCATACAGTACACAATATAAATGGGATATACTATGGTAGACCACAAAATATTATAGAAATCCTTATTGATATTGTAATTTGTTTATATTTCTATAATTTGTGCATATAAAAATCACCATATCATTAACTACAATTACCTCATGAATACATAATAAAATGGTATTTTTAAATTCTTATAAATGAAGTTTTTAAATTATAAGAAACCGACAGAAAACTTGCATTTAGAAATATAGATTATTTTCACTCAAAAAACTATATACTATATTACAAAACAAGAAAAAATGGTATTTCAGTTCATACTTTCCTTTCATCCTCAGCAGCAATCAAGATACATAGAGTAGCAAAATATTAGTGGTTTACAATGCCATTGAGCACAAGTTGTCTTTACTTTCCAATTAGAAATCATTGCCTAAAATTTACCCTTCTGTTCTCAGTTTAATGGTCTCTATATCCAAGGGGAGCTCAGATGCTTACAGAGATGAAATCATTGCAGCCTGTTCCCAGAGGACTTCTGGTTATCATTACACATAACATGCAGACAATACTGCTAGGAGCCAGTTTGCCTCATGGTAATATGTAGTTCATCACCAGCTTCTGTAGCATGCTAAAGAGGTCTTGCCACACAGCTTGGGACTATTCGGGTGCAGACTCAGGGGTCTCAGCAGTTATTTTCCTGCTTTGCATCAGAGTTTTCATCTTCTTTATCCTTTTGTGTTGTGGCCCACCTCAGGCAGTCTCCTTCTAGGGGAATCTAAAAGGAACAGCTGTTACAGATACTGTTTCCTCCAGTTGTTGCCACTTGGTTCCTTTTGCCATTTAAGGCATCCCTCCCTCTCCCAACATGCATACACACCAGCATATATATAAACTTGTTTCTTTCATTCATTACTTTATCAGTGGAGAAGCGTATGTTCAAAATATTCATTATCTGACACAGTAATTAAAGGTTAAAATGATTAAGCTGCAGCCTCTTATATCAAATATATTTAACCACTTTGTGTATTATAGTATGTTTATTGAAGATTTTCTTTTCAAAGCATGTTTAGCCTGTGTAGCATGTGTAGACTGACAATTCGTTGATATATAAATTTTTTGACGTTTATAAATTCAGTTATCAAAGTCTGACTTCAGTGAAAGTATTCAGCTGTGTAAAGGTAAATATGTGCAGAAATCTTTGCAAAACTGAGGCCTAATTATGTTCCTTTGTGACATTTTCACTATGTCTCAAGTAGTATGCAGTTTATATTCATGAGTAATTACTGTTTTCTAAATGTTGTTGAAGTACAAAGTCTAATATATAGATTTTGTCATGGGATGGTATGAATTTTGCCAAGGGAAGTTATCTGCTTGCTACTTTATAAACTAACCTTACATTAGGATTTGCTATAGATATCTTTCATTAAAATTATTTTGCTAACCGTTACAAGTAACACATTTGGCGTAATTAGAAATCTTGTATATGACAACTATCTTATTGTGATATATGTTGTGTGTTTTTATGTTAATGTAGATTTTATAGTTAAATTTTCAAAAGCATTTTAAGAAGCTGAATATCCAGCTCTCCTTGTCTTTCAATTAGTGCTGCATGTCCAAATCCCTTACTCTAACTCTTCTTGAAATTGTCAGTCTACATGACTTGAGTATTCATTTTATAAGTATGTTATTTCAAAATGTTTCTCATTGTAGATATTAGTGTGTGTTCCATATGGTGTATGCTTTAATGCATAACAATAAAGAGATTGCAACATTAAGCACTGCAACCTATGCCAAAAGAAGCATGATAATTTATGATACAATGTCACACCCATGAATTATCAAAACTTGTAATGCACCAATTACAATGGCAACATTCTTTAGAAAATTTATGAAGTTATAAAGCCCTCTTAACATCTAAAATGACCCCATTAAAGTAATCAAAGATGATTTATGACTGTAGTCTGTATTTCTAGAGACGTATTACACACCAACATTTATATCAAAGCAACTGAAAAATTTACCTTAGCTTACACAGTCAATCAGAATGGAAGTAGTTATATACTGGGATGCAGGTCACTCTAAAGTTATTGGACACACTACTATATAAGAAATCTTTCTAGTCGTTTAAATCTCCATGATCCCTGCAAGAGTGTTTCCTGCTAAGTGGACTTTCTATGAGATAGATCTGATTAATTATGCACTGTTCTCAGTGACAATTTATTTTGA